CTCTCTCTCTCTCTCTCTCTCTCTCTCTCTCTCTCTCTCTCTCTCTCTCTCTCTCTCTCTCTCTCTCTCTCACACACACACACACACTTCGGGCACTTAAGCTTGGGTACCGCTCACGCGCTATCAGAATCGAGAAAGGGTACCGCCCAAGTAACTGATTGTATACTGACGATACACTAATGAGAATATAGTGATGCTACTGTGCAGATGAAAATGCAGATTCCGGCCGTGTTAGTTCAATAGCGATGTCGGCCTGCTGATGAGATTCCCACTGCAATCGCATGCATTTGAGGGCACTGGAAAAGTGGAAGGAACATGCACGAAGACAGAGGGAGGGGGGGAGAGCGAGAGAAAGAGAGAGACACCACACAGAGAGAGAGACAGAGAGAGAAACCACAGAGAGAGAAACAGAGAGAGAGCACAGGGAGGCAGAGAGAGAGGTGCTGCCTTGACATCGAGAGCATTGACAGCATCGGCACGGACCCAGAGCGACAGAAAGAAAGCAGAGCGTAAGAGAAACGAACCACAAAGGGAGAGAGAGAGCAAAGAGAGGCAGATAGAGAGGTGCTTGCCTTAACATCGAGAGGATTGACAGCAGCGGCCCGGACCCGCACAAGGACTTCGTGAGGGGCGCAGGAGGGAACAGGCTGATCACGTCTGACCTCCAAAACCTCAGGTCCTCCATACCGTGGCAAGATAACAGCCATACACGTGGATCGGATTCCTCGTCTCGGCAGAAGACTGCCGCGAGCAGGGATCACCACGCCCCTGAGTGATTGGTAGAACATGGCCAATGATCATTAAACCACCAGTTCTTCGCCCGCCAAGTCTGAAATGTCGATGGTAGGTAAGGCCACGTTAAGACGTGACGAAATACGGTACAAACTCGTGGCAACAGAGCTGATAAACACGTGCCGAAACTGCCGATAAACACGTGCAGAAATCACCGACAAACACGTGGCGAAACTGCTGATATGGCTGCGCAATTTCAGTGCCTCCCGCCTCCCGCATCTCACGAACGATTTCTGCCTATTCTTGGCGCCCTTTTTTTCGCTGCATATTCTTGGCGCCCTTTTTGCAAGCTGCTGATTGCACATGTCGTGTACATGCCAATGCCAATGCCAATTGTCTGTTGCCAATTTCACCACCCAAACAGTAGGCAAGACAGCCACGTGATCCTTGAGTACACGCGACCTGTCTTGACCTGGCGCCTGATGGGCAGGCCTGGTTCCGCTGAAGGGCAAGAGCATGCGGGGGACCATTTTGCGATCACTTCTGGGCAACGAAACGAACAGATGCATTCAGGAAAGTCCAGGCACGTTTGTACGTGGACCAGGATGCCCCAAGAAATCACGCCCGCATGGCGCAACTCCGGCCGACGGCTCATTTCTCCGTGACGGTCAGAGGCTTGGCGGGTCCTGTGTTTGGCAACAGCGAAGCTTCACCCGGGCCGAGGTCCCACTAGCAAAAAGGATAGGATCGAGCCCCCGAATCTGGAAGTGTTTTGTGCAGAGATGCAGAAACGCAGTTCCATCTCGATTTCCTGCACATCCCCATAACCTCGTCCAGATTCACGCATTCGATCCGACCCACTTTGCTAGTGGGACCACGCCCCCGAGCTTAGGTCTGGACCCCACAGGCGTGCGGAAAAGCGTATGGATTGGCGCAGAGGGTCTTTTTCAGATCCCACAGGCCGTGGTCTCGGCCCACATGCAGCAGTGTAGTATAGTTTTCTGCTACCTGTGTGACTGTGGGATCACTGCGAACCGTTGATCATCTGACAAACGGACGGTAGGATTACACAACCCGCCCTTTTGGAAGGGGAGCCAGCAGCCTACTGTTTTGTGATTGGTTGGGGTGTCGTGTTGGGGTCACATTGGGGATGGCAGGAGAGGCATGGGCGTTGTAGTTTTCTACGAGTTTTTTTTCAGATAGTTAAACTACACGGGGATTTTCCTCTTCACTGAATGGAGGGGGAAGGTAAGGCCAGCTTTGGGTTTTTTTTTTTTTTTCAGCTTTGGTTTGTCAGAGACTTGCCTAGGGCCCCAAGGATCTATGCCTGTCCAATAGGAGGAATAGGATGTGGCACACCCATGAACTGTTGAAAGGAAGACCTGAGTTCTATTCCCACTGGCACTAGATGAGACATGTCTAGGGCCCCAAGGATCTAGTCTGTCCAATAGGAGGAATAGGATGTGGCGCACCCGAGAACTGTTGAAAGGAAGACCTGAGTTCGATTCCTACACACACTAGATGAGACATGTCTAGGGCCCCAAGGATCTAGTCTGTGGAATAGGAGGCATAGGATGTGGCACACCCATGAACTGTTGAAAGGAAGCCCTGAGTTCGATTCCTAATGGCCCTAGATGAATGAAGTCAAATAAGAAGATTATTTACTTTCTTTTCCTGCCTTTTGGCCTCACACAGTTGTAGAAAACTAAACTATATGGCGCATGTGGGCCGAGACGCAGGGACCGGCCAGGAAAACTTTGGGCCGAGGTTTTCACATAGGGGCATGGTGGGAAATTCCTCCATGGCATTCCAATTTCAGAAATGTTGTGACAAAACAACATGGTAGCCGCGAGGCTACCCACTTGGTTCAGCCATCCCGTGCGGAAAGGAGGCACGTGGATTCGACGGTGTGCTGAAAAACAGGAGCCACACTTGCCAGAAAGGGCAAATCTTCTCGATCTGGTAACCTAAACCCGTGGTCGTGCCGAAATCTGCTATTGCAATGGGGTCCCTTTTCTCTTGCATATTCCTGACGGCTACTACTTGTGTTGGCGGATGCTTTCCATATGCAAAGATACCATGAGCCTGTGGTGTCGAGCCCTTAGGCGGTTGAATGATACACAAGCATAACAGATCGTGTGTTTGAACCATGAGACATAGCTCAATACAATTAGGAAAAAACAAAGGGTCCTTCCTACTGCTACCTTCTTACCCCCCAAAAAAACATACGGACGTTCTATTCGAA